GGAGGGCCCCCCCCCCCCCCCTTTTTCTTCTTCATATTGTTATTGAAGCAGGAAATATCATTCTAAGGAAAAAAAAATAAATCTACTAACTATGGTTTTGCAGAGCGCGGTATAGAACCCATTGGCCCAGAAGGACACAATCTAAGTGAAAAGAAAATATATTCCTACTGAAACATCCAGTACAGATTCTTTGGAGGAAGGGGGAAGAAAAAAAGAAAGGACTTCTCCTCAGAAAGACAGGGTGAAGTTCTAATGTGGAACAATCTGACATAGGAAAAATAAAGCACGTTTTGGCAAAACATGCTGATTTAAACATCTAACAGTACCATGAATATTAATTCTTAGTAAGAAAACTCAGGTTTTCTTGGGGGTGGGTGGTGTCCGACACACACAGTGTTATCAAGATGTGATTCTAGTTAGACGATACAGACCTAAAGGTATAAAATAATATAGAGAGAGTAAATATTGACCACAGAACAATATTAAATGAGCATGAACAAAGATTGTTCTAGTTGGTAATGCTGTGATAAGTTTGAGAACAGCTGGATTGTCCAGGTTTCTTGATGAGTGAATTCTATCTGTTTTCTTGATTTTCCAGTTCCTGGTAGTTCATCTAAATGGGAGGAAGTTCAGTCCAAGGCCCGACAACTGCTGCTGAACACATTTGGAATGTACAAGTGCTCTGTCCAGCTTCAGAGTTACAAACAGGAAACGAGCAAAACCTGCGCAAGTTGTCAGAGTTCCAGTGCCTAATTTCATATGTTTTGGGAACTGCTGCCTTATTCTTTACCTTGTAGTCAAAGACTGAGAGCAATAAATTAAAAATGAAAATTAGGAAATAGAAACAATTAATATGTGGATTTGTACCATGGAACAGCAGCAGCGAGAACTGATGCTGCAAGAAGTGCAGTGGTTGCCCTATGGAACGTGAATTTCACTCTCCCCCTTGTTCTGGTTTATTCAATTTATTATGATTTTGAGACAAAGCTGTTTTCAGATTATTGTTTACAAACTGCAAGGTGGCTCTGCAGATACCTCACAAATTACAGTCCAATATTGTCCTTTAATAACTATGTACCACAAAGTACCTGCACTCCAAATGGAGCTTCAAGTATTCAGTATTTCAATTAAAGTCTCTAATACTGATCATGCCAGGGTTCCATAATATGTCATGATCCCTGAATTCATCATACAGTATTTTTGCAATAGTAATTTTCATACAGTATCTTAAACTACAGTACATACAGTGCTAGTTGAATTCTTTTGGAAACAGTCTCTTTGGAAACACTGCAAAAAATCCCAGAATTTACTGTACCCCGACCAGAAAATCAGCTTTAATTTGGGCATTCAGAAATCCAGACAGGAAGATCCTTGCCCAGACTTCTGGTATTTAACTAAATACCCAACACTGGACCCAAAGCATTTTAAGTGATCAGTTATCTTTAATGTATTTTAGAATAGGGTTTATACATTAGAAACGGGTTATTTATTTTATGAAGTTTTGACTTGTAAGATAAATTTATTATTAATAATCTTGAATGTCTAAACCGACATTTGATTCACATTAGAAGGCCAGTTGATTAGCATGCATTCTAATTAATAAGCATCTTGTAATTGATCATTTTTCCACAATTGTTTTGTTTTAAAAAAATCAAATGATAGAAACTATGCTTGACCTGGAGATACTCTCAAACACAATCTGGAGACATGCAAAATATATGCATCTTCTAACAGGAAAGCAGGGAGCAGAAGTTTTAGATATGTACTATTCCCTCGGTCACAGATCTCTGTGACCTTTTCATCTTTGCTTTGAGCACAGTATGGCAGTATCCTGGCAGGAAT